TCAACACTCATGAAAGAGAGCTGTATACTTTTCAATAATCAACTAATCTTTAGAATATGATCACAACCAATAACAAATCATTTAAACTAGTTTATTCTTATCTTATGTTACCTATAGTTAGTATTCTTTCTTCTTTTTTACTGTCCTATATCATTGGAATGATTTCTTTATTTTTTAAAACAAATTAAATAGATAAATGTGTGCTCTCTCTAGCTCTCTCTCTCTCTGTCTCGCTCGCTCACAGAGGCTGTGTGCTCCTCCGTGGCGATGGCGGCTTGCGTTAAAAAAAAAACATATTTGTAAAGTGGGGGCTATTGATGGCTTGCGAGATACCGGTAGCTCATGATCGACGTGTTGGAGACCCCTGCTCTAATGGGTCCGACTAGAGTGAAAAAAATTGTTACTTCCGCCTATTCCGTCAGCCAAGAAATCGTTTAATCATAAACCTTTTTTTTTTTCATTTTTAGGGGGGCCACAGGGGGGTCCAAAGTCAGTGTTAGGGGGGCACTGGACCCCCTGGGCCCACCCTACCCTGCTCAGGAACTTACATCATCACACTAAAGAACCATGTAGGCCTGATATAGTATATTGCACCCCGCGCTCCTGATGGGATTGCCCACAGTTTTGAGTGAGACATAATCGCTTAGGTCAAAGTTACTGGTGAGTAATAACACACTTTCAGCTCTAACGTGCGTTCTGTTACCTACGCTGAACTCTAATGTGTTGTTACGTACGCTGACTTAACGTTTGTTACCTACGCTAGAGACTACTAATGCTGTTTGTTACTACGTGAACGTCTACATGTGTTAGTATTACCGTAAACCGCGAACTCTCAAGGCATTGTTCCAGACGCTGAACCTTAAAGTGTTGGTTACTACGTGAACTCTAACGGTTTGTTAGTACTGGAACTCATGTAGTCTTGTACACTACTGACTCTATGCGTTTTGTTAACTACTGCACCACACACGTCGTTAGTCTATACGCCATCACGTGGTTTGTACCATACCTGAAGCTCTAATGTGTTTTTACCTATACTGAACTCTAACCGCGTGTGTTGTTACCTATACTAGAATAGAACTCCCAACGTCGTTTGTTAGCCTAACGGAACTCTAACGTGTTGTTACCACATACGCTGAACTCCTAGACGTATTGTTCCTACCGACTGAACTCTAACTTGTTGTTACCGATACGCTGAACTCCTAACGAGGTTTGTTACCTACGCTGAACTCCTAACGTATTTTGTTTTCCTAACGCTGAACTCTAACTTGTTGTTACCTACGCTGAACTCTAACGTGTTTGTTACCATATGCTGAACTCTAATGGTGTTTGTACCTACGCTGAACTCTAACGTCTTTGTTACCTATGCCGAACTCTAACGTGTTTGGTTACCCTATGCTGAACTCTAGCGTCGTTTTTTACCTATACTGAACTCGTAACGTGTGTTGTTACCTAACCGCTTGGAACTCTAACGTGTTTGGTTACCTAACGCTGAACTCTAACGTGTTTGTACCTACGCTGAACTGTCGTATACGTTGTTGGTACGTCTTGGGTACGTTGAACATATTCGTGGGTGCAATAACGAAGCATCCGAGACAGTGGGCCCTTTCATTTAACGGACACTACCCATTGGAGGCGGTGCGGATTTATACCATCGATTGGAACTTTAACCTGGTTCGCTATTGGGCTTCAGTCCATGCACGAACAAAGACTCACAAAACACAAATTAGTAACACATTTAACCCGAATGTTAACAACCTAGAATATATTTTGGTTAAAAGGGAAAATGGTTCCTTTTAAAAAAAGATTTAGTTGGACAAAAAGCTGGGTATGTGAACCTAAAATTTAAGTTTTCGGCGTTGATTACAAAACGACCGTAATCCTGCACCTTACAAGATCAATCGCAGATACTGTCCGTTGATTTTTAGTTATTGCGTGTAGACCACTTCAACATACGTGGAGTAATAATGACATACGATGGTTGTGCCCAACCTGAAAGCAAAACAAATCGACAAAGACCTGTTCCTGATATGATGAAATGGTTTAGCCAGGGACTGCGCCCCTTCACCACCCACCCCAACTGGAATTGCATTTGCAAGGAAATCTCCATGCACGTTCGTATGCTGGACACGTTGCCTGCTCGTATGTTTTTCACGGTTAACTGTGTGGGCCCTGGTCCATTCGGGAGCTCCGGTCTCAAAAAAAACACAAATGTACGAGAAAGCAGCGAATGACTCGAATGAATCAAATTATATCTCATGTCGGGTATCATCTGATTGATGTTTGTGTGAGGATCCTTCACATAAAAGTTATCTGACATGTTGCTGGTTTTCCATACCTGTTAAACAGTTCATTGAGTTGGTTTCAATCGCTGACCTCCCAGAAGGTACTTATTCTCCAGTTGTAGTTGTGCCAGGCCTGTATGTGATTAAAAAACATAAGTAGGACATGTCAAGGCCAATTTTATAATCATACCCTTTCATGAAAATACACATTATTGCGAATATCTCGAAATGTTTAATATACTGAATTGATCCCGTAATCATACAAATACATTTGAACTCGTGAAAACTGTGGGCTTATAGCCATTATACATGTTCTAAAATAAAAGTGGGAGAGCTAACACTTGGGGTCAAGTGGATTTATATTATGTTTCTTTCTCTAATGTGAGCTCACGTTAATGCCTTTGGCCATAATTTAAAACATTCTACCATTAACTTCCTCCGCGTAACCAGACATGAAATGCAGAAATGTAAAAATAATAGGTTGAGTAATTACACCTGGTGGTGGTTCTCAGCTAGCTAGTTGGTGCGGAATAATGGGGAAGTTGGAAGGAGCTGCAAGTCTTTAGAACCACTGTTGTGAGGTGATGCAGTCGTAGGTGCCACGCAGTTGTGGGTGCAGCAGTTGTGGGTGCAGCAGTTGTGGGTGCAGCCAGTTGTTAGGTGCAGCGTTGGGGCGTGCTGCAGCCGTAGTTGCAGCAGTTGTGGGTGCAGCCAGTTGCGGGTGCCAGCAGTTGTGGGTGAAGAAAGTTTGCGAGTGCAGCAGTCGTAGGGTGTAAGCAGTCCGTAGGTGCAGCAGTCGTGGGTGGCAAGCAGGTCGTGAGTGAGCAGCAGTTCGTGAGTGCCCAGCAGTTGTGGAGCTGCAGCAGTTGTGGTGCAGCAGTTGTGGGGTGCAGCAGTTGTGGGTGCAGAAGTTGTGGGGTAGCAGTTGTGGGTGCAGCAGTTGTGGCGTGCCAGCAGTTGTGGAGTGCAGCAGTGTGGGTGCAGCAGTTGTAGGTGCAGCAGCTCTGGGGTGCAGCAGTTGGTGGGTGCTGGCAGTCGTGGGTCGGCAGCAGTGTCCTGGGTGGCAGCAGTTCGTGGGTGAGCAGCGTGGGTGCAGCAGTTGTGGTGTAGCATTGTGGGTGCAGCAGGTTTGGTGCAGCAGCGTTTCTGTGGGGTGCAGCAGTTGTTAGGTGCAGCAGTGAGGGTGCAGCAGTTGTGGGTGCTGCAGTCGGGGTGCAGAAACGCTCGTGGGTGCAGAAGTTGATGGTGTAGCAGCGTTGTGGGGCAGCAGTTGTGGTGTAGCAGTTGTGGGTGCAGCAAGCTTGTGGGTGCAGCAGTTCGTAGGTGCACAATTGTAGGTGCAGCAGCTGTGGGTGCGCGTCGTGGGTGGCAGCATCTCGTGGGTGAAGCAGCTCGTGGCGTGCAGCATCGTGGGTCCGGGCACGCAGTCGTGCGGTGAAGCAGTCGTGGGCGTGCAGCAGTCGTGGTGCAGCAGCGTGGTGCGCAGCAGCTCGTAGGTGCATTAGTCGTGGGTGCTGCAGTCGGCAGGTTACAGTTGTAGGTGAGGCAGTTGTGGGTGGCAGCAGTTGTGGGTGCAGTAGTTCGTAGGTGCTTGCAGTTGTGGTTGCAGCAGTTGTAGGTGCAGCAGTTGTGGGTGTTGGAGTTGTAGGTGGCAGCAGTTGGTTGGGTGCAGCCAAGTGTGGTGGGTGGCAGCAGTTGTAGGTGCAGAAGTTGTGGGTGTAGCCGTTGGTGGGTACAGCAGTTGTGGGTGCAGCAGTTGTGGGTGCACGCAGTGTGGGTGCAGCAAGTTGTGAGGTGCAGAAGTCGTGGGTGTAGCAGTTGTGGTGCAAAG